ATCAACACCTCAAGAAAGACATGTGAAGATACATAAAAGACATACAAGGTCAAGCAAAGTCAAGCACAAAGATTGGAACAAAGCCAAACGCAAGATCACAAAAAAACAAGCCCGGCAGAGGTGACCGGACATGGTCCTAGAAGTGATCGGACGCTCCGATCAAGTGCCAGGCAACAGCAGGCGTCGATAGCTGTGACCGGACGCACCGGTGACAATGTTCATCATCACGGCAGTGATTTTAGCGTGACCGGACGTAGCACACTGGATGACCGAACGCACAAAGTGTAGCGTTCGATTATTTCTAGTGAGGTTCGAGCGGCGCCAGCGTCGACCGGACGCGTCCGGTCGATGATGACCGGACTCTGAGCTGAGTCCGATCAACGCACGCGCTCTAATAGTCGGGACGACCGGACGCGCGTCGGTCAGGACATGATCAGTGTCCGGTCAATAGCAGAAAAGTCGGTCTCCGGTGTGCCTTCCGGCAAGCCTCTCCCGGACTGCTCCCGCCATCTTCACTATTAACGCTTCTGGCCGAACCATCGCAGGCCTTGTTTCCTTTGGTATATGGTGGCGACCACACCACAAACGCGGTTGGTGTGATCTCGCGAGACTACAAGCCCCTCCGATGTACAACAATAGTGCGCGCAAGCATCGAGTGGTAAGAGGTATGCAAACCTCATTAAACACTAGGCCTAAACCTAAAGCAAGTGCATAAGCGGTGGTCTAATCAACCTAAGCACTTCGCAAAGCACCTACGCTAATCACCTAATGAATCACTAAGTACTATGCAAGCGGAGATCACTAAAATGGTGTATCAACACCCTTGGTATATTTCCTTAGCTCCACATTTCTCAAATGGCTGGTTGGGGGGTCTATTTATAAGCCCCCACTGAGAAAGTAGCCGTTGGGGATGAAACCCACTTTTCTGCTACTGACCAAACGCTGATCACGTCCTGACCGGACGCGTCCTATCGTCCCGACCGTTGGAGCGCGTGCGTTGATCGGACTCGGCTCAGAGTCCGGTCATCATCGACCGGACACGTCCGGTCGCGCTGGCGCCGCTCTGGAACCTCACTAGAAACAATCGGACGCTACACTTCGTGCGTTCGGTCGTCTAGTGTGTTGCGTCCGGTCACGCTGAATCACTGCCGTGATGATGAATAGTGTCACTGGTGCGTCCGGTCACTGCTTCGCTCAGCGTCCGGTCATAGCTGCCGACGCCTGCTGTTACCTGGCACTTGATCGGAGCGTCCGGTCACTTCTAGGGTTGCGTCCGATCACCTCTGCCGGGCTCGTTTCTTCGCGATCTTGCATCCGACTTGGTTCCAATCTTTATGCTTGGACTTTGCTTGACCTTGTATGTCTTTTATGTATCTTCACATGTCTTTCTTGAGGTGTTGATCATCGGATCATCACATCGCCTTCATCCAAGTCATGTTTTGCATTCTATTGAACTATAAAACAAACACTTGCAAATTCATTAGTCCAAATTGGTTGTGTTGGTCATCAAACATCAAAATTCAAAGTAAATGGGCCTAGGGTCCATTTTCCTTATAATCTCCTCCTTTTTGGTGATTAATGACAACATGACTAAAACAAGCAAATAATAAAAATATTGGAATTTAGAACTATTTACTTGCTAGGATGCAATGCAAAGAGCAAGGTTATATGATGCTAAAAGATACCACATGTAAACATATTTGAAACTTATTTTGCCCTTGTAAATGTCCCCATGTGGCATTATGGATTTAAGCCTCCCCCTAACTCCATAATCCACTATCCTCCCTTTCTCGGACCATTACCCCTTGAAAACTATTACTATTACAACTTGTAAATTATTATGATTTGGTTTGCTTTTGGTCCTACACAGTCTCTATCATAGAAAAACAAGGGCTCAGTTGCTTCATTGTCATCAACAGGGATAGCTGCTGCTTCCATTTCTTCTTCCACCTCAGGAGGAATCTCTGGCACTAGAATCTCTGGTGGACCATCAGCACCTGTTATCCCCTCATCTGCAGCTTTGAAGCCCATGGCTTCATAGATTTGTTCCTCATCCACTAAAATAGTAGCATCCCCATCTAAGTTTTTCTCAGGTAATATTGTAAAAGCTTACCAATCAATAACAACATCATTTGATTTTGTATGCTCTGGACTGCTACAAGCATCATCTGTGCATTCAACATTTCCTTGCTCTACTGATACACCGTATGTGGCATGAACACTATGCTTATTTGGCACATTTCCTACTGCTGCATCTCTGTTCTGTCTGGATGATACCTTATCCTTGTCAAGTACTTCACAACTGACATCCATTTCCTTCTCATCCCATCTAGCTTCTATAATCTCCCTGAACTACTCATCAGTAGCAACCTTCCATTCTGTCTCACTCTTCTTGTCTAGACCCCAAACAACTAGCTGCTACCCACTACCCCAAATGATCTTTCTAGCCATTTCATCCATAAATCTAGACAGAGAGCAATGACCGGTAAGATCAATCCAAACATCATACTCTTGATCATCCATTTTGATAGATCCATAATCAACATTGGTTGTGTACTTAGCAACGCTAACGTGGATTCTAAACGCATTGCCAGGATCAATCCTGACAATAATCATAAACAAATAAAGAAACATGTGGAGTTAGGAGACATCTAACTCCAAAACACTACGGGATCCCAAAAACTACACCAAACACTACAGCACATCAAACTTACCAAGGAGGGCAGTCAGTCCACTTCATCTTAACGCATACGATCAACAACAAGGGCTACCGCAACGCCACTACAATCAAATGGACCACCAATCAAATCGAAACCGAATCAAATCGAAACTCTAGATTGGGGAACGCAACTGGGGAAATAGGGTTTAGGGGAGTGCTGGCAGTACCTAGTATGGTCGTCCAGCGTCCAAGAAAGGGGAAGGAGACTCGATTCCGCCGTCGTCGCCGCGTCCGCCATAGCCGCCGTCGCAGTCGCCAGGAGACAGAAGAAGGAGGCGATGGCAGCGTGGTCATTTCGCGTGCCAAGTTAGAGCTCCCAGGCTCCCTGCCACGCTGGCGTGCCCATCTGGCATGCCACCTCAGCAAAAATAGCAAAAACATAGGAGGGTTACTGTTTGCGAAGGCAAATGTGTAGGAGCGCGCACAAAGCTAGCAAACGAAGGAGTGCCATCCGTAAGGATGGCAAAAAGTTAAAAATCCTGACCTCTGCCGGCACCGCCGGTGGAGGAGGTCCGAGAAGAGGGTTGTTTGGATTCGTACGGCGAAGTGGGTGACGGAAGGGGTAGAATGTAATTTTTAGTGCATTTTCACTTTAATACCTGTGCTTATAGAAATTTCGGAAACAACCATTGCACTTTCTTAACACATAAGATTTTTTTTTCAAATATGAATAATAAACAGTTAAAAAGCTGACATGTAAGGAAAGGAGAGATATTTATGGAGAAAATGAAATTTCAATAAGCTACTCAAAAAAGTTAATCAGTTAGAAGAGTTCAATTAGAATATTGACTGTCTACATTTGTTATCTTTACTTAATTACAGAAATAATTTATGCACTTGTTATGTGTCTCCTGCATTTGTGTGGGTGACAACACATATCAAGAGAATTTGTTCGTGATTTTTTGGGCTGACATTGAAGCGCATGGGGGATGGAGATCATGTACCGTATATTTTAGGTTGTTCAAATAGTATCTATGTGATGTTCTTTCTATTTTTCTTCTATTCCATGTCTTTTATTTTTGTTTTTCCTTGTGCTTTGTTCTATCTTTTATTGTCTTTCTGTTAATGTTATGTTACGTTTTTTTTGTTTCTATATATTTAGTATTTCTTCTAGAATATAATAAGATGCTCACGTTTCATTTGGTGTTCCATGATGTATTATTTATTGTTGTCATAGTATTTTGAGATGTTCTATGATGTATTTTGAATTTTTCAAAGTATTCATATTTCAGATATGTTGTATTTTGCAATGGTTGTATAGTACCTATGAGATATTCTATAGTGTATTTTTGGGTTGCTAAAATTTACTATCAATATGATGTTCCACAACCATAATGTGAACTATTCACACGGTACACATGAAATATCTATGCTATATTTTAGCTTGTTCATGTAGTATTCATGTGTGATGGTTGATGGATATTTCAAATGTTTTGATGGTATCTATTAGATGTTCTCTTTTTTACAACTAGACACGACTGGTTCACTTGAACGTAGAATTTTATTTTCTAAAATTTGGAGTATTATTGTCCTGAATTTAGAACATTTTTCTTGTGAAGACGGAACATTGATTCTTGATGCTATAATATTACCTTGCTTAATAGAAAGAAAATGTTCCATCTCCATGATAAAAATGCTCATTAACGAAATAATGTCTAAATATACTGAAGTGAGAGTTTGTTTTGAAGGTTTCATTGTAATTAGAATTTAATTTATTAGATGCTCAATTTGTTAACTACAACTTCTTAAGTTCTAAAAATATTTAGGACAACGATGATGTCAACAATTTTTTCACTCCTCTAGAGTTGCATGTGTCCATGCATGCAGGATCTATTGTGGAATGATTCCTATTTGGAGAACTATTATTTTTGGAGAGTCTCTAAAACTAGGAGTTTAGATCTAAATTTTACAGAAACTCTTAAAGCAGTTGTTCTAAACATGATCAAGTTTTCCATCCATGTTGCCCTCAGTCAACAATCAGTTCTTCGTGATGGTAGAAGGAATGAAGAGGAGGAAAAAAGAAAACGAAATCAAGAAGGAGGAAAAAAAGAAAACGAAATAATCAAGAAAGAAGGCACTGCAACATTACAACCGGAACGCTTGCACACTAATTACATCTTCTTCCTGGATATCCATGGATACACAAGTTTGTTGCATGAGTGAAGCTTCTCTGATGTGTGGAGAGTTAATTATAAGGTGGCGGTATATGTTGTCGTTGTTGCCTATGAGCTAGCACATGCACAGCTATGGATGATGACCGGACGATATATGGCCGGCCGGTCTAGCGCAAGCCGGCGGCGGTGGCGATGGCGAGGCAGTTGCTGGAGAGCTTGGCGAGCTCGGCGTCGTGGTTGGCCATGACCGGCGTGAGCTCCTCGCGTTCCTCGAACCCCTGGTCGCAGGTGTCGACGTCGGTGCGCACGGTGTCGAGCATGGTGCCCGTGGTGTCGCGGTCGCCGCCGGCAAGCGCCTTCTGGGCCTGGTCGAGGCTGTAGGCGATGTCGTCGAACGACTCGACGCAGTCGTGCAGCGGGTTGCGCGCCAGCGGCTGCGTCTTGGGGTCGTTGGCGAGCGCGGCCGCCGCGGACTTGGCCTCGGCGGCCTTGGCGCGCACGGCGGACATGGCCAGCCGCAGCACGCCGGCGCCGTCCAGCCGCTTACCGCCGGGCAGCTGCGGCTGCGGCTGCTTCGCGATGGACGAAAAGCACAGGTCCGGGTAGTCCGTCTTCAGGCACAGGCTCCGCACGATGTCGGCGCCCGGCGCGATCGGCGTCGGTTTCGGCTGAGCCGGCGCGGGCGTCGGCTTCGGCTTGGGCTTCGATGGCGCGGACTTGGCCGGCGCCCCTGGCTTGGTGTGACCCAGCGGAACGCAGACGGCGCCCGCCGGTGGCGCCACCGCGGCGGCGAGGAGGAGGGTGAGGAGGAGGCAGGCGAGGAGCGGCGGCGGCGGTGGCGTCATGTCGAAGGGGACCGGGGGAGAAATGGAGGTTAGAGTTTGATTAGGGTCGGGGGTAAATAGGAGGAGACGTGGTCAATTAATAATTGGTTTATATATATTAATTCTGTTTGTTTAGTTAATGATTTATTTGAATGTGAGGGAAAGGAGGGGATTGGCTGGCTTCATTTTCCCGGGAAAAGCAATGGTAGCCAGTGAGGCGCTTCCGGTGAGAAAATAGCAGGGGCAAAAAATAGCAAATGATGAGTGGTGATGATTAGCTGCTATATTCTGTTTCTGAGTTTGGATTTCTAAAATACAAAATAATTACAATGGAGGGGGAAAATACAGTGAAAAAGTTTTTAATGCGGGCTTTATAGGACACTAGAAATCATCAAAGAAGGCAGTTTCATCTTTGCAGTACTACGTACGTTGTAGTCCTCTCCACACAAAGTGAAAAGTTTGACGCATTGAATTGGCCGGGTGTTTATAACAAAAAGGATGAGAGTACATTTTTTATTTATTTATTAGGGTTGTTGGTCCTTGGTTGGATAATTTTTCACCAAGTCCTTCCAAAGCATGTGGATTGGGGTGCACCCAAATAATCATTTTTTAATCTAATCTTGATGTTCATGCTCCAATAAATTGCTATTATGCTAACCCCAGTGGGTAGTAGAGTGTATACACATTAACAACACATTTGCTTGATGGGGCCGAATGACTAGTTCAGACCAACTGTGCCTTACATCTAGTGCATGTGAATTGTATTGCTTGTGCGTCGTGTGCATCAACATGATTAGGTGAGATGATGCTTGATGAGGTTCTATGGGAAATATCCTGTCTAGCTAGCGACCCTACTTTCCTTATATAGCTCGACGTATATAGTCAAGTTTGATCTTTTGTGTTAGGACTAGATTCTTATTCCTATTATAATAAGATTCCCGATAGACTGACATACGTATATTTATGCCTTTGTGTAGCATGATGGTGAAGATACCCTATATAGATGCCAAACTCTAAATTATTGACCAGGTGCACCCTATATCTAGAGGACTAGATATGTGATGATACCATGGGGGAGTTGACAATATCGTCGACACTCATTATACCACTATGGCCTTGTTTAGATGACATCAAAGTTCCAAGTTTTTTCACTCTCTCTCCATCACATCAATTTTTGGACGTATGTATGGAGTATTAAATATAGGTAAAAAAAATAACTAATTGCACAGGTTTGTGATGCTAATCTTTTACCGAGTTATTGGGACAAAGTTTGTCAAATACAGTATACCACTCAGATTGCAAAAATTTATATTCTATATTTCAAATATATTTCAAATATCTAAGATTTGGTTTTATAATAATTGACAATATACTATAAGACTTTGTAATATACCTTATAAATTCTTTATAAGACCTCACCTTACAAATACTCATTTGGTTTTGTAATAATCGACAATATATTCTAAGTCTTTATAATAATTGATAATATTGATTGGGCCAGACTTTGTAGGACTCACGTTCTACTCTCATGATACAGAGAATATTTGTGGTGGCTGGGTATGAAAATGTCAGGAATGCTATACAGAGAATATTTGTGGTGGCTGCGTATCTAAACTTGGATTCAGTTATAACCATATTTGTGGTGATGGGCAGGGTATCTAACTGCATAGTTTCTTATTTAACTGTGTTTCACAAAAAAAAAATTGCTTATTCAGTTTTAGTGTTAGTAAGAATGTACACTCAAGGTTCAGAAAAGCCTTAGATTCCTTCACCTTCCATTGTGCTAACTTCAGTTGACATCTTATCCTTTTCTGGATTTCAACAAATTTGTTGAAGAGTTCTTTTATAAAAAAATTTTGTTGAAGAGTTGTGTTTTCCATACTAAGGAAATATAATCATTTATCTGTGTAGTTTGCAGCACATCTTTATATATGTTGTAGTGATCAAAATTGACCTCACTTAAGAAACTACATACCTTTTGATTCCAGGTTTTTCTTGAATGCACACATGGAATCGCTTATGCCGCACAATGTGTGGTTTCTATAGCTCCACATGACCTACATTGTAAAAGTTTCTACAACATATATAAAGATGTTTGTGATGGTTTTGATAGCTCTAACTTCAGTTTTTAAAATAAAGCTTCCTTTATCTAAAATAAAGATAATAATGTTTGAGATAATACTATGATATGGCGTTTGTCAAAGAGCTAATTTACATGAGATAAAACTTAATTTCTTCAAATGGGACATATAGGTTACTGAAACAAACATAAAAAAAAATGTCGAGAACTAGGTTGCTGGAGTGAATAGTGTCCACAACGAGAGTTTTACATGAGATGCTTCGTTTTTCTAGTTGTATTTGCATTGTAATTAAAAAGAACTTCAGAGTAAAGGTATGGTGAGAACTTAAATGACTGCTTCTACAACAGGACATGATCTATCGTAACTGTCAGACACCTCATTGCCGATGAGACAAACAATTCAGCTACAAACCCCTGAAAGACTTAGGTTCCTGTATCATCACAACACAGAGGCCAAATCCACCAAAGCAGAGCTTGTACTTTATGCAAACAGGAAATGAGTGAAATTTTCGAAATGGCAATAGGTGCATGCCTCATCACTTCATCAGAAATGAGAAAAATACAGTTGAAATGCATTGCAGAAGTAGCTTCTAAGATGAGGTAATTAAAAACAGAAATAATTGGTGCTGCCCAGGTTCGAACTGGAGACCTTTATAGTGTGTAAGACTAACGTGATAACCAACTACACCACAGCACCCCTGTGACAGTAATTAACTCAGTTAGTTACAGAAACATAGGGCTTTACATTAACCACTTAACAAGGAACCAAAATGACAGGAGAAAGAAGACAGTGCATCCACTAAATGATATAGTTACACATTTGCGGCATTAGAAAGGACAGCTGAGGGGGTTAGATTTTATTAACTTTGTGCTACCATTGGCTGTTAATGTTGTTCTACATCAGCTATAACAAGCAACGATTAAAAAGGTCAAATATGTGCTATACAGGTGGGGAGATGAATGAGTATACAAATTGATTTCTGCGCATGGCTGAGACTAAGAGGAGCAAATGCTTCTATCCTAAGTGTATCTTGTATCGAGCAAATGCTTTCTACCCTAAGCGTATCTTGTATTGAACCTAAATGTCACATCTTAATATCATCATAAGGGTATTGCAGATCCGACAAGCACCACCAGCCAAGTAGGCGCCTGCAGTTTTCCTGGCTGTGTTGGGGAATATCCTGCCTCATCTACTACCTGCAAGATGTGATGTAACATCTTACTAGGACTGATTAATATTTTATGTTTGGAGATTAGTAGTATTAGTTTCCGTTTTAGATAATAGCTAAACTGAAAATCAGGGATGCAAATATCTTGCCAGAGAATAAAAATCCCTTGTCAACTAAAGTTCAAATACTTTTAATCCCGGATTTCTTAATAAAGTAAAAGCATAGATACAAAAATCAATACTTACGTTGCCTGAACTTGATAAAGGGGATCAAACATGAATAGTTCCCTCTGCTCATCTGTTGGATTTGTTAACCACCGACAGAACATCCATGCTGCCCCAGCAACTGATGACACAGACAGGATTGCCAAGAAGCCAAAATGGGAGACATCGTTCGCAATTATAGCCATAGCAAGCATGACTAACTCTGCAAGGCTTGCAATTGAAACCTCCATTCCTCCAATTAGATTTGCTTTTGAAGCAGGAACACCTGTCTGGACGATTTGAGTCCCCACAACATCATAAGACATGTGCCCCAACCGAGACAATGCCTGCAGATTAACACAGAATAGATAGGATTACTCTGTAGCATTCAACTAAGTTCTATTGAAAGGGGAAATATGAAGTGAAGATTTCAGTCTTACAATGGATGCTAGGAATATAAGTAGAGGTGTCCTTTGTGAAATTGAACCAGCCCAATACACCGTGAGTGCAATTGACAAGAGTGAAGCTTGAAATATCAATCCAGCAGCCCCCGCCTGTTATAACATTAGCCATTTGCATGAACTGCGAAAAAAATTACAGAAACAAAACCAACAAGGTAGATGTCACACCTTTAGAATTCCAACTCTTTTCACCAGGCTTGAGGAGATGAATGTTGCAACAAGGCCCATGATAGAGCACAATCCACTGAAAGCACCAACAATGGATGGACTGATACCTGTTCAAAATTGATAGATATAGTCTTGTAGAGAGCCTTTTAAGGTAGTCGTACAGATTTGAACCAGAGAAGTGAAACCTACCACGATGCATCAATAATGCAGTCATTATGGCACCTGGAGCAAGTGCAACATTGAAATTTAGGAACACGGTAGCTGCACTTGCAGGTAGAACTGTTTGCTGCTTATACTCATTCCAGCCGTGTTTGATAGCACTCAAGCTATTTTGAACTGAAGGTTAAACAGAATGTTAGACCATACACCAAAGTAAAATTAACAAGCTAATCATATCAAAGTTCCTCACCTATCCTGCGTACATCTAAAAGATCAGTACAAATAGATTCATCAGTGGCGGTTCTAGAGGAATCAAGTGCATGGCATGAAACTCTATTGATTAGTTGACCCAACATGACCTGAAATTGAAAATACCAAATAGCACTGTGAGTACGCTACGTCTGGCTACCCTATTCAAGTTTTAGGAGTGACGATAAACGTGGTTTACCAGAACAGGGAAACTGCATATCATTAGACCACAAGCAATCTTCAAACAGGTCACGGGATGGTATCTGGACAGAAGAAGGCCAAAAACCGAAGCACCAACTGTCTGCAATCATCCCAAAAAAGGTTGTTATGTCCACTCAAAACAGGATATTGTGTTCAGCTATTTGCAACCAACAAATAGAAAATAAGATTGATCAGTGATCAGCTTTGTTGTGTGCTGAAGTATCAATGAAGTAAGATGATTATATGCAAGTCTAAGAGAGAAAAATCACACCTCACAAACTAGATCAAGTCGATTGAGCACAGCATTAGCTTGAGCTAATGCAACAGGCCTGTTTGTTCCTGCTAACTTCACAGAGAAAAGAATTTTAAGGAAACAAGTTGATCAAAGACAACAACAAGCAAGTTATTCTGAAATCTCTATTTTATTTTAAGATAACAGACTTTTCCATTTGCACCGATGTAGGTTCTTAGTTCCATCTCACAAATTTATCTTGTAGGAAGGTGATATCAAATATTTGAGTCAGACAAAGCAACAGTCTACAACAGTATGGGGATTAGCAACCTACCAACACAACCCAGTCACGCTCCATGGAAACTCCTAGCGCCAATCCTGCAAGCCTTTCGATAGCTCCAGCTGCCACTAGTGCAATGAACCAAGGTCTCAGAACCACAGCTGTTGTAGAACCATGGCTCAGGTTTCTTAGAGCATAGATGACAGTTGCAGCTGATATTAACTGAGTGGCTACCTGCAAGATCAGATTGCACAAAGAACTAGAATCAATTAAAGAACATGGCAACTTGTCCATTTTTTTTCCAAACATAAGAAACAAGAGAAGATAAAGGACATGCACCTGCACAGCATTCAATGCTGTGTACATGGGTATTCGAGGGAAATGATCCATAAGTTTGCCAACTATTGGAGCCCCAACAAACACTGAAAGCTGGAGATCATCGATTTAATTAGACTACTGATATAGAAGGTTTATCTTAAATTAATTAAAGTGGTAAGTACCTTTGTGAAGAAACCAACAATAGCCACAGGCAATAGGTTTGAATGAAGAATTGCCAGTGCAGCAGGCCAAGCAAAATTCCACAGTTGTTCCACCAAGTTACCAAATAAGTAACTAGCATATAGAGCTGCATCAATGTTGTATGATGTTTAAAGGATATTTAAGTTCCATAACAGAAAGATCCTAAGGTAAAAAAATGAATCCATAGGGGTACAATACGGCTATTGCTCCTTCTACAAGGCCTTGAAATTTTTAATCAACTACCCATAACATGGATCTTTGTTCTTCCAAGAAATTTGCAGCATATTTGCATAACTTATACAGTGTAAACAGTAACACAGATGTTACAATCGAGGTGATCCTGAAAAAAATCCCTTACCATATAGCCCAGCAGGATGAGCAGGAGTGGATGCCAAAGTATGTTGCTCTCCTTCAGACAAGACCTGCATTATAAACAGAAAATTACAAAAGGATAAAGAAACCGTTCGACAAAGAGGACACATCCGTAAGGGAAGAAGATCCATACCGGCAACTCTTCAAAATCAGAAGGACAGGAAGCCCTATCATGCAGCGGAAAAGGACTAGAATCTAGAACATCTCCTCGAAGATTAACAACGGGAATGGAGCATACTGATGGCAATGATGGGTGATCATCGAAAGTTTCTTCTTTATTTACAGTACTAACATCAGCCTCAATGTTTGTAATGTAGCACTTCGGGACAAAATTGTGTACCCTGGCAAACACACACATACAACATGTTAGTGATCGACAGAATCTTAATCGATGGAAATTTGAAGAGAAAAATCTAATACAAGAAAACAGCATCATGAGCTCAATCAGCTCGACACCGAATGCTATTACAGCGTTTCTAGTCAATTAACCTCCATTGCCCCCACCGGATTCAATGTTGAACACATCTATACCGATAGGAAAACTTACAAACACATTCAAGACAACAAAATTTAGCTTTCATTTCCATAACCGAAAGTAGCAAAAGCTATAAAGGAGCCAGAAGCCCAGCATCCACAACAAAAATTAACCATAAGAAACATGCTTAATGACACATTTGAACTCCTAATTCCCACATCAAGCATCCCAATGGGAAGAGCCTAACCTACCAGGGTTAAGCAACCTTCCCCATTCTCAACAACCAATCTTGCACATGAATCATCCCCAGTTCAAATCCCCTAAGCTAGCAAACCACCCCTTGTCCACCTCGCGAGCTCCAATATTCGAAAGAAGGAACCTTTATCAGCTCCTCGCGCATCAAAGCACCCAAATGAGCCGCCGCGTTTTTCGGCGAGAGCCAGCGCGGGCCGGCAGCGGCAGCAGCAGCAGCAGGCAGATAGACACTCACCTGAGCGACGCGACGCCGAGGGAGGCAGCGGGCCTCAGGCGCAGCGTCCACGCGCCGGAGAGGCGGCGGCGGCGGACGAGGGACTCCTGTGGCGAGGCGAGGAGAGCGGAGGCTGCGGTGGCGGCGAGCATCCCCATGGCTCCTCTGCGGTGGCGGTGGCGGCGGCGCGACTACTCATGCAGCCTTCACAGGACCAGGCGCCGCCGGGGAGTTCAGGCTCGGGCTCGGCGCAACGTTCCGGAAGCTTCTGGAAGCATGGACCTGCAGGACTGCAGCCTTATCTTGATGATGAGGTGGCGGAGGCGCGGGCCGAGGGGGCGGAGAACCAGAGGAGAGCAGCGAGCGAGGGGGCGCGCCAAGTTGCCCAAACTCCAATCCAGGGGAGTGGACAGTGGAGGGGAAGAGGGAGGAGAGATAGGAGGGGCCCTATCAGCCGTCTGATATGGATCAAACGGATGGAGATTTTTTCTAGCGTTGTGATGATGTTAGATGAAAAAACCCAGAATCAGTAGAGCGAGAGATGTTCCGTTCTGGAGCACTGCAACTGCGCGGGAATCTCCATGGAATTTATAGGGCAGGGGGCACATATTCTTCTTACGGTTTGAGTTGCGATGCATTACATGGTCTCAGGTTTTTTTGGCCATAAAAAAAAAACAGGACACAGGTAGACATACAGATGCCTTGAAATTCCGTTGGGAATCTCGTCCCGTCAAAATCACCCTTGCTTTTATCCTCCGAGAGAAATCCGAATGCACATAATGTCACACCACAATATTCTTAAAAGAATATGCATACTATGGGTCTAAGAAAAATTCCATGCATTACTCTCTCTGTCCCGTTTTCGCTTCCCGAGTAATCAAACATTTTTAGCTTTGACCAAATATACATAAAAGAAATATTAATATCTATATTGCATAATTAATATCATTAGATAGATCATTCAATCTATTTTCATAACAAATTTATTTGGAGATACAAATGTTGTTAATATTTACTATAAACCTAGTTAAACTTAGAAAAGTATAACCGACATGGATACCATAGCGACACTAATTTTGAGACAGAGGGAGTATGATGAAGATGTTATTATTGATATAAGTAGGTTTTGTTAGTCTATTAAATTAAATTAAATTAAATCAAATAAATTCAAAGCTCATGTTTAATGCTACAATTTATGTGTTTTAATGAATTTGAGAGCAATGACATGAATATATTTGTCGAGTTGTGCTCAGTGTTGATATATGCACATCGTCACATTGAGTTGTACCGAAAATTGGTATGTTGTATGTACACGAATGTTGAATTTTCCCAAAAGGCGGTATAAAGAAATGACAAATCTTCACATCATATCAAAACTCTTCGTTGGCTATAGTTTACTTATTTGGTCAACAGGATTGACACTACTATAGAAATGGTTTTCAAATGTGCTCGTTTTTCTGAAAGACAACTTTTATCAAGAACTGTTTATAAAAATGGTTCTAGAGACAACTTGCCTCTTAAAATAGTTTTTAAAGTTGGTTGGGAACATCAGCCGCATATAGAAATACGATTTGTGGAGATGGTCGAGAATATATGGCATGCCTCTAAAAATTGATGAAGCATAAAAAAACTCATAATTTTTTCAAATCAAGTTTAATGAAAACAAACTTTATATTAAAGTTGCAAAGATCGAAGAGATCTACAACTTTATTGTTGAAGGCTTTTCATTTGAAATCGTCTGGGATCTCAAAAGTTTTATTTAAGTCCTCAAATTTTAAGGTTTATTTTTTTGAATTTTTTAAACAACCTCAGATTGAGAGACACCCTAAATCAAAATTATAGTTCTCTACTAGATCTAAAATTTGTAGTTTTTTTTCATTTTAAATCATTTTAGGTCTCAAAGGTTTGATTTAAGTTCTAAAATTTTAAAATTCATTTTTTGATGTTTTCAAAAGACCTTGGGTGTAGACACACCATAGAACAAAATTAAAGTGCTCGCTCAACGTTCAAACTTTTTTTTATTTTACATCATTTAGGGTCTCAAAAGTTTGATTTAAGTTCTCAAATTTTAAAATTTACTTTTCTTAGTTTTTCAAATGACCTTGGATGAAGAGACACCCTAAACCGAAGTTGTAGTGCTCGACTAGATCTAAAGCATTGTAGTTTGAACCTTTTTTCCCCATTTGACATCGTTTAGAGGCCAAAATAGTCCGTACATGATTCGTAATATTAATACTATAGGATAGCATCCTATACTCAATCACAATTGACTATGTGGCATGGTGGTTATATAATTTGGCCTCGTAAAGGGCTTCGGATCTTAAGTTTGATCTCCATGGCACCGCATGCATGTGAAAAAACCCATGACCTGTGTGATGAGCAGACACATGGGTTTCCTAGGGCTTCTCCTGTTTTTCTTTTGCTATTTTTATTATCATTTTGTATTTTGTAAAAAACAATTTCTAGAGGCGCGGATCATGTTGCCAACTACTTTACATATTATATTTGACTACTACCTCTCTACTATTAATTAATGCAGCTCACAGAGAATGAAAACTAAATTGTGCACGCATCGATAAAGATAGGACTATTCTGAGTCTGCCTCTATCAAGGTTGCATAGACTGAGCTAGTTAGGTGTGGCACGTTATGCCATGGATCGTTTTTGGATTTAATTAACGTTATGCCATGAATCAGTAGAGCGAGAGATGTTCCGTTCTGGAGCACTGCAACTGCACGGGGAATCTCCATGGAATTTATAGGGCAGGGGGCACATATTCTTCTTACGGTTTGAGTTGCGATGCATTACATGGCCTCAGGTTTTTTTGGCCATAAAAAAAAAACAGGACACAGGTAGACATACAGATGCCTTGAAATTCCGTTGGGAATTTCGTCCCGTCAAAATCACCCTTGCTTTTATCCTCCGAGAGAAATCCGAATGCACATAATGTCACACCACAATATTCTTAAAAGAATATGCATACTATGGGACTAAGAAAAATTCCATGCATTACTCTCTCTGTCCCGTTCTCGTTTTCCGAGTAGTCAAACGTTTTTAACTTTGACCAAATATACACAAAGAAAATATTAATATCTATATTACATAATTAATATAATTAGATAGATCGTTCAATCTATTTTCATAACAAATTTATTTGGAGATACAAATGTTGCTAATATTTACTATAAACCTAGTTAATCTTAGAAAAGTTTAACCGACATGGATACCATAGCGACACTTATTTTGGGACAGAGAGAGTATGATGAAGATGTTATTATTGATATAAGTAGGTTTTGTTAGTCTATTAAATCAAATAAATTCAAAGCTCATGTTTAATGCTACAATTTATGTGTTTTAATGAATTTGAGAGCAATGACATGAATATATTTGTCGAGTTGTGCTCAGTGTTGATATATGCACATCATCGCATCGAGTTGTACCGAAAACTGGTATGTTGTATGTACACGAATGTTGAATTTTGCCAAAAGGCGGTATAAAGAAATGACAAATCTTCACATCATATCAAAACTCTTCGTTGGCTATAGTTTACTTATTTAGTCAACAGGATTGACACTACTATAGAAATGATTTTCAAAGATGCTCGTTTTTCTGAAAGACAACTTTTATCAAGAACTGTTTATAAAAATGGTTCTAGAGACAACTTGCCTCTTAAAATAGTTTTAAAAGGTGGTTGGGAACATCAGCCGCATATAGAAATACGACTTGTGGAAATGGTCGAGAATATATGGCCTACCTCTAAAAATTGATGTAGCATAAAAAAAACTCATAATTTTTTCAAATCAAGTTTAATGAAAACAAACTTTATATTAAAGTTGCAAAAGATTGAAGAGATCTACAACTTTATTGTTTAAGGTTTTTCATTTGAAATCGTCTGGGATCTCAAAAGTTTTATTTAAGTTCTCAAATTTTAAGGTTTATTTTTTTTTGAATTTTTTAAACAACCTCGGATTGAGAGACACCCTAAATCAAAATTATAGTTCTCTACTAGATCTAAAATTTGTAGTTTTTTCATTTTAAATCATTTTAGGTCTCAAAGGTTTGATTTAAGTTCTAAAATTTTAAAATTCATTTTTTGATGTTTTCAAAAGACCTTGGGTGTAGACACACCATAGAACAAAATTAAAGTGCTCGCTCAACTAGATAGAAAACGTTACCGTTCAAACTTTTTTTTTACATCATTTAGGGTCTCAAAAGTTTGATTTAAGTTCTCAAATTTTAAAATTTACGTTTCTTAGTTTTCAAACGACCTTGGATGAAGAGACACCCTAAACCGAAGTTGTAGTGCTCGACTAGATCTAAAACATTGTAGTTTGAACCCTTTTTTCCATTTGACATCGTTTAGAGGCCAAAATAGTCCGTACATGATTCATAATATTAATACTATAGGATAGCATCCTATACTCAATCACAATTGACTATATGTAGCATGGTGGTTATATAATTTGGCCTCGTAAAGGGCTTCAGATCTCAAGTTTGATCTCCACGGCACCGCATGCATGTGAAAAAACCCATGACCTGTGGGTTTCCTAGGGCTTCTCCTGTTTTTCTTTTGCTATTTTTAATATCATTTTGTATTTTGTAAAAAACAATTTCTAGAGACGCAGATCATGTTGCGAACTACTTTACATATTATATTTGACTACTACCTCTCTACTATTAATTAATGCAACTCACAAAGAATGAAAACTAAATTGTGCACGCATCGATAAAGATAGGACTATTCTGAGTCTGCCTCTATCTAGGGTTGCATAGACGGAGCTAGCTAGGTGTGGCACGTTGAGCCATGGATCGTTTTTGGATTTAATTAGCGTTAAGACTATGGACTGTTTGATAGAGATTCACTTATTTATTCTTATCTTTAACTTCGTTGAGGGTGCCAAAAAGACCGAAAACTAACTCTGGTGAGGATTGAGTGGCAGCGGATAGAAAATGGCAGCAGAAACCGAGCAGCCACGCGGATTTTTTCCCCTTCTTCACACACTGAAAAAAACGTCCCATTGGGCGCGTTCGCTGGTCTGGACCATCCAGACCAGCCGGCTGATCCCCTCAGCAAACACTATTCATCAACCAGCCGCTACAGTGTTTTTTTCTCACAAAACCAGCCAGTTTCAGCCAAGTTTTAAACCAGCGAACGGAGC